AAGTTCAAACTTTGATCATTTTTACTTCCTGTTTTTCCCACTTATTGAATAAAACTACATCAGCCAACAAGAACCAGCTTCTGTTTGCATGTTTTAGTTTCTTATTGTTGGTATTTTGAATAAAAACAGGCTTTTAATCTTGTATACATGTTTTATACATTAAAAGAATCTGTAACAATTCACTAAACAGGATAAAACAGAAGGAATCTGCAAAAGCAGGACATGAAGACATTTTTTCCTCTTTTTCTTTTTCTTCCTGAGATCATTTCAAGTCACAAATGATGCTCTGATGCTTTTTGTGTTCTGGATAAAATTGACATAAATCCTCATGAAAGTTGATGAAATAATAAACTAGATGCTGGCGTGACGCTCAGCCAGCAGATTAAAATGTGACTGACCTTCAGCGCCTCCTCTGGGACTTTGTGTTGACTTTTCTCCAGAACGTAGACATGAGAATGTGAAGAGGCGGTTCAGAAAAATCTAAATCTGCATGAATAGGTTCACTGAACACCGTAAATACACACACAAACACACACACACAGAAACAAACACACACAGACAGACAGAAAGACACACACACACACACACACACAGGGAAGGATATCGTATCCGAAGCGGATGATGTCAGACAGTTTGAGAGTGATGTAGGTCTGATCAGGGATCCGCAGGTCGTTCACAAACGTCTGCAGGAAAAACAAGAAATCAGATTTTATCTCTCATCCAGTTTATTAATGAACTACAAAATATTCAATAAAAATCACCAAAAACTTTGGAAATTCATTGGATTTGATGTTAATCGATTCTCCAATGTGTTCTTGCAGCTGATTGGTGGAGACCTGTGATGTAATGGGATGGCTGGGCATGCAGACAGAAACATGTGTGTGTGTGTGTGTGTGTGTGTGTGTGTGTGTGTGTGTGTGTGTGTGTGTGTGTGTGTGTGTGTGTGTGTCTCACCCCGTTCAGGCTGCCCAGGTCTTTCACCAGGTGTTCGTCGGTTGTTGGGTTGTAGTTAATGACGGCGTGCTGCTTGTCCACGCTGCGCGACTGTTCACACACACACACACACACACACACACACACACACACACACACACACACACACACACACACACACGCACGCACGCGCACAGACACAAACACACACACACAGAGCCAGTCTTTGAATCATTGAGTTTAAAGAAGACGGGATAAAAGATGACGATGACATCATTTTTTCTTCACAAAAAAATGATGATGAAGAGAAAAATAATGAGAAGAGAGAAAGAGGAGAAAATAGATGGTTGGATGCGTTGTTGGATGCCTGGTTGGATGTGTGGTTGGATGCCTGGTTGGATGTGTGGTTGGATGCGTGGTTGGATGCCTGGTTGGATGTGTAGTTGGATGCCTGGTTGGATGCGTTGTTGGATGCGTGGTTGGATGCCTGGTTGGATTCATGGTTGGATGCCTGGTTGGATGCCTGGTTGGATGCCTGGTTGGATGCCCGGTTGGATGCCTGGTTGGATGGATGGTTGGATGCATGGTTGGATGCCTGGTTGGATGCCCGGTTGGATGCCCGGTTGGATGCATGGTTGGATGCCTGGTTGTATGCCCAGTTGGATGCCTGGTGGGATGCGTGGTTGGATGCATGGTTGGATGCCTGGTTGGATGCATGGTTGGATGCCTGGTTGGATGCGTGGTTGGATGTGTGGTTGGATGCATGGTTGGATGCGTGGTTGGATGCGTGGTTGGATGCATGGTTGGAAGCCCGGTTGGATGCCCGGTTGGATGCATGGTTGGATGTGTGGTTGGATGCATGGTTGGATGCGTGGTTGGATGCGTGGTTGGATGCGTGGTTGGATGCGTGGTTGGATGCATGGTTGGAAGCCCGGTTGGATGCCCGGTTGGATGCCCGGTTGGATGCATGGTTGGAGGCATGGTTGGATGCCTGGTTGGATGCATGGTTGGATGCATGGTTGGATGCATGGTTGGATGCGTGGTTGTATGCCCGGTTGGATGCCCGGTTGGATGCCCGGTTGGATGCATGGTTGGATGCATGGTTGGATGCCCGGTTGGATGCGTGGTTGGATGCCCGGTTGGATGCATGGTTGGATGCATGGTTGGATGCCTGGTTGGATGCATGGTTGGATGCCTGGTTGGATGCGTGGTTGGATGTGTGGTTGGATGCATGGTTGGATGCGTGGTTGGATGCGTGGTTGGATGTGTGGTTGGATGCATGGTTGGATGCGTGGTTGGATGTGGTTGGATGCATGGTTGGATGCCTGGTTGTATGCCCAGTTGGATGCCTGGTGGGATGCGTGGTTGGATGCATGGTTGGATGCCCGGTTGGATGCATGGTTGGATGCCTGGTTGGATGCGTGGTTGGATGTGTGGTTGGATGCATGGTTGGATGCGTGGTTGGATGCGTGGTTGGATGCATGGTTGGAAGCCCGGTTGGATGCCCGGTTGGATGCATGGTTGGATGTGTGGTTGGATGCATGGTTGGATGCGTGGTTGGATGCGTGGTTGGATGCATGGTTGGAAGCCCGGTTGGATGCCCGGTTGGATGCCCGGTTGGATGCATGGTTGGAGGCATGGTTGGATGCCTGGTTGGATGCATGGTTGGATGCATGGTTGGATGCATGGTTGGATGCGTGGTTGTATGCCCGGTTGGATGCCCGGTTGGATGCCCGGTTGGAAGCCCGGTTGGATGCCCGGGTGGATGCCCGGTTGGATGCGTGGTTGGATGCGTGGTTGGATGCATGGTTGGATGCCCGGTTGGATGCCTGGTTGGATGCCCGGTTGGATGCATGGTTGGATGCCTGGTTGGATGCCTGGTTGGATGCATGGTTGGATGCGTGGTTGGATGCATGGTTGGATGCCCAGTTGGATGCCTGGTTGGATGCGTGGTTGGATGCATGGTTGGATGCCTGGTTGGATGCATGGTTGGATGCCTGGTTGGATGCCTGGTTGGATGCGTGGTTGGATGCATGGTTGGATGCATGGTTGGATGCCTGGTTGGATGCCCGGTTGGATGCCTGGTTGGATGCGTGGTTGTATGCCCGGTTGGATGCCTGGTTGGATGCGTGGTTGGATGCCTGGTTGGATGCGTGGTTGGATGCCTGGTTGGATGCCTGGTTGGATGCCTGGTTGGATGCCTCCTGACCTGCAGCATGAGCTCGCAGTCCTCGCGGCCGACGAAGATCATCTCCTTGGGGAGGCGGTGCCGCGTGCCGGAGCTGCTCACCAGGAACCATGACGTCACGCTCATCTTCACAGGCCTGCCGACAAACCGCAGTGCATCCTGGGAAACGGAGGCCACAGCCACAAACATCCTGAACTACATCCTGCAGCAGGGATCCCGAATCCACGCTATCATCAATAAAAACACGTTTCGCTCCACTGACCGTCCAACCCGGACGGGCGGGTTCAAGTGGACTCACCAGGATCACAGACTGGTTTCGGAAACCCGTTTAATCTGCTGCAGATTGTCAAATTTATATTTAAACCTCTGGATTAATTGATTTACAGCTTTAGGCCACGCCCCCTTGGTACTGAGCTGGATCCGTTCTTGGTTCTGAGGATCTGAGTGGAGCTGCTGATTGGACCATGAGCTCCAGCTGGTTCTGGGTCCAAACCAGACCGGATCATCAACAGATCCACCAACCAAAACACAGCAGCTGATCTGACAAAAAAAGGGTCAAACTGTTACAATGGCCTAGTCAAAGTCCTGATTAAACGCCCCAATAAAGGCCTGACTCTTTGTTCGGTGATTTAAATGAAACCGTCCAGGTGAGCTGACCTGCTGCACTCACACCACACAGCAAAAAGTCCAGTGTTAATTTAACTCCCACAGAGTTGATTTTAACACTTTTTCAGTGCTTATATAGTCCACTCTCATCAAGAGTTAAATTAACACTTTCAATATAGTTAAAATTTTAACACTTTATCAGAGTTACTTATTTAACTCACAAAACAGGGTTAATTCAACACTGTGGGATATACTGGATAACACTGATCCAGGAACAAAAATTTACCACTTTATTAGTGTTGATTTAACACTTTCAAGTGTTATTCATTCCAAAAAAGTTACTTTATGATTATGATTAATTATAATAATTATTAAGAAAAAAAACTTGACACAAGTACATACATTTTGAACACTTTATTTTGCAGCTGTGTTCCCAACATTTTAAATTGTGGTACAATGATCACACATTCATTAGAAATGCCATAAGAGTTTTGAATATCAAAAGAAATTTAAGTTCAGGGATTTTTACTAAATGCCTTTCTTCACTTTGAACAATTTTGAAAGCATGATGATGATCAAATGTGTCCGCTTGGATACAGTTTTTGACACATAAAAACAGGTCAACATTTTTTAGCCTGACTTACTCACAAGAGAGCTCAACGGACTGGTTTAGCAGCCTTGCTCTCACGTCCCTAACTCTGGGCGATTCCTTCATTTTGCCCACGTCAATGTTATACACTGTTGTCTGCAGAAATGTGTAGAAATTCATCAATGCAGCATCATAAGAGAAATTAAACACAAAATGTGCTTTGAATAGCTCATCAAATGTTCCAAGAGAACTGTTTGTCTGGCATGGGATGAGGCACTTATCCATGACGATGTAGAAGCTGTCAATCTTGCTTTTCTGACGCCCAACAGCAAGGAGGTATGGCTGCAGACCCCATTGTCCCCGAAGATGCTCCTCTAAACTGCAGCATGACTAAAATTAAAAAGATATACACCAAACATTAGAAACAAAACATACAGCTTTACGATACGTGACATAAAAATAAATTTAAGTATGCCCAGACATCTTCAAAGCTGTCATTCAAACATCTGTATTTATGCATGTCTATAAAAGGAAATAGACAAATAATTTTGCATATTTTAAATTTCAATTACCTTATGAATGACAACAAGTCTCTCATCTGCATCACTTGCACTGATTTTTGGAGACTTCTGTCCTCCTGGTTGCGGTGGAAGAAGATGTAAGAGAAGTAACAGCGAGGCCATTCTTGGTCATAGCCTGAGGACAAATTTATAAAAGTTTTCAGCTATAATATCAGAACTTTATGAATACTCTGAATAGTCAACTATCTTCAGATATATCCAGGTACTTACTAGATGTGTTAGTGAGGTCATCGCTTTGAAGACTTTCCGCTGACTGCACCAAACTTCTCAACTCAGGTGGAGAAGTGAAACGCTTAGCCTCCTTGATGACATTTGGTTTGAAGAACACATCCCACTTCTGCAGCAGTCTGGATGAGGTTTCTTCACTGAATAGGAGACGGAAGTCTTGATCAATCTTTAATAGCATGTAGAAATCAAACCATTATAACAATGTAAAAATCCACATTTAAAGACTTCAGTTGAACACTTACCAATCCTTTTGTGTCCAGGAACCCCGGGAATGTGGTCAGGATATATCATTTCTTCCACTGGCATCTTTAATAAGCTTGTGACGGTGCTCAAAAGTCTCTCTCATCTTCTGAAAGATCACGGACCTGTCTGTGGTGTGGTTAAGCAGAGATATGGCCTCCTGGCAGGCATTCCCATCAAGCTGTTTTTCAACAATCACAGTTCTCTGTATATTTGGGCAGATGAAATGTAATTGGTGCTACTTGATGGCACAAGAGATCCTCTTTGAATCTTCCTTAGGACCGTTTTAAGACGCCATGAAATGTATCCAGTGCTGCTTGCTGCATCATAAAAGTGCTCCTAAAAAAAAGAACAAAAATTAAATGCAAAATTACAGTTTTGAGTCACAAAATAAAAGAGCATGATTGATTGTAGAAAACAAACAAACAAACAAAAAAAAACATTACATTGCCTTTTTTGGTGTATGGATCCTTGAGGGATGCCTTTGTCACTATTCCAAAGGCATACTTCTCTCTGATTGCTTTTGTGGGGAGGTGCCTAACAGCAGATTTTAAATTGGTGATTAAACCTTTTTTTCAATTATTATACATAAATTAAATAGTGTAAAAACATACCCTTGTTCATCAATCATGTGAGCCACCAGTATGTTCACCATTTGTCTTCTTGTGGCATCAGTTAGGGTTTCTGTAGTTTCATACTCCTGCAGAATTTCTTCACCACCAGACTTGCTTTGTAGGACACCTTCAACAAGCTATAAAATGAACAATAAAAAAAGAAAGAAAAAAAAAAAGGAAATATGCAATATGCAGATGACCAAAATATGACAAAACATGTCTGGGCATACAAAACAGAATTTAGAGGCAGACAAAAAATATTGTTACATTTTTAGCAGACACTGAGTTATCAGGATTCTCAGTTTTTTGCTTCTTGCGTGGCATCTCATCCATTAGTATTGTTGATGTTGATGCATTTGAGTTGAAGCTTGAGTCAGAAGCAGATGACCATTCTGAGAACTCTGAAGAAAGAGACAATAGACATCAGTTACATTCTTTGGTAAAATCTGTAAACTGTTGATTTAATTTGCTTTGGTATCTCACCATCATAGCAGAAAACTGTCTGTACCACATTGCCTTGTCTAAGGAGGTCACTGAATATTTCTTCGTCAACTTCAGTATCTGTTGCATCTTTGTATGTAACTTTGGTATCAGGTGGCAGGCAAAATTGTTCAATGACTGAAAAAACAAGGCAAGATTTAGAGCCTAATTCTGTAATTAGCTGGATTTTTTTAAACTAACAGTTACTTGATATTGATCATGTGATTAGCATAAAACATATTAATGAAAAATACAATTTTTACTTACCACAAATGTGTAAAATATGTGTTAAACAGACATACATTGGAAAGAATAATGCCCATGCCACACAGATGATGAATAAATAACAAACCTTTCTCATGAAACTGATTAAAGTCAAACAGCCCTTCGACTTCCTCCAACTTCACATACTTTTGCAGGTCACCAAACTTTACATGGATCAGCATTTTATTTAAGCATGGGATAAACCTAGACAAAGCAAAATAAGGTAAAGGTCAAGAGTTCACCTCACTGTAACTCTGCTATTGGTGTCACGTGACTTCGGCTCGTTGAAGCTAATAGTCGTTAGCTTACATTCACAAGGCCAAAATTATCATTTTAAACGGCAAAAACGTAGAAGTATATTTTTTACGAGTGTATGGTCCGACAAAATATGTTTTGTAAGAATTACCATTATAATAATATCAGGTGTAAGTGCTACTAGCTACCAGCTAACATGTTGTGTAAAACTGTTGCAAAATGGACATATTCAGCTGCTTTTCATTATGTGGTAATTAGTAGAAATAGTCAAATCACTCACTCTGTCAATGTAATAGTGCTGGACAAAATATTTAGTAAGTTGGACACTTACCGTGTAGAACAGGAGATGAAGAAAATGGAGCCGTGTTCAGATTGAAATCAAACTGAAGCAGAGGGGAGGAGCTTATTTATCTCCCAGCAGAGTTAATTCAACACCAACGCAATCAACTCTGCGAAATAACTCCAACACTGGGCATCATTTAAATCGCTAAATGTTAAAAATACACTTACTGAGTTAAAATTAACTCTGACACGTTTAACCCTGAAATTTTAACACTCCAGTTTTTGCTGTGCACGTGACTTTCCTAAACCTGACTGGATGCGACCTGGCAGCTGTCTGATCATATCTGTCACGTTATCATCGTCATCATCACCTTCATCATTTCAACTGAGCCACGCAAACGCGCAGGCGCAGCCGTCGGAGGATCCGAGCGGCTGGTCCAGCTCCTCCCAGCGGGCCGCGGGCTCTGATCCGCGGCGGCCCGGCCGGGATGCGCCGCCTCCGGCTGCAGTTATCCCAGACTGTCCGGTCCCAGCCCCCCCTCCTCCACGCCCTGTCCCCCTCATCCTCCTCTTCCTCCTCTCACCTCCGCTCCAGATGCCGCCGCTCCTCCGCCGCTGCCCGCCGCTGTCCTGCGTTCGGATCCCGCACTGCCGCACTGCGGGGCGGGTGGAGCATGGGAGGCGTCCCGCAGGGCCGGAGCTCGGACGGGGTTCGGGTCTCTGCTGGGGGTCGCGCTCTGGTCCTGATGCTGCTGCTGTTATGGCATCTCTACGCCCGTCTCCTCCTGACGCACCAGCGGCAGCCCGCTGCGTCAAGACGCACCGCATTAGTGCCTACGACACCGGAAAAGCCCCACCACGGCCTTCAAATTAAAAGACTGCCCAAAATTATCCATTATGCATTTTAATATGCATTAAAATATCCTAATATTAATTAGGATATTTTAATGTATGTATTTAAAGGTAAAATAAAATGATAATGTAAAATAAATTGTGGCAAACAACCCCCAGACTATTAAAGACATTTATGTTAATAAAAAATAAAGGTTTAGTGATAAATCTGATTATCACCAATGGATAAAATACATCACTAATTATATATATTAAAATAGTATATTTTACTTGTAAAATGCACATCCATCCATCCATCCATCCATCATCCATCATCCATCCATCCATCTATTCATCCATCCATCATCCATCCATCCATCATCCATCCATCCATCCATCTATTCATCCATCCATCTATTCATCATCCATCCATCCATCCATCCATCCATCCCATCCATCCATCATCCATCCATCATCCATCCATCCATCCATCCATCCATCTATCATCCATCCATCCATCCATCCATCCATCCATCCATCCATCCATCCATCCATCTATTCATCCATCCATCTATTCATCATCCATCCATCCATCCATCCATCCATCCATCCATCCATCCATCTATTCATCCATCCATCATCCATCCATCCATCCATCTATTCATCCATCCATCCATCCATCCATCCATCCATCCATCCATCCTTCCATCCATCATCCATCAATCCATCCATCCATCTATTCATCCATCCATCATCCATCCATCCATCCATCTATTCATCATCCATCCATCCATCCATCCATCCATCCATCCATCCATCATCCATCAATCCATCCATCCATCTATTCATCCATCCATCATCCATCCATCCATCCATCCATCTATTCATCCATCCATCCATCCATCCATCTATTCATCATCCATCCATCCATCCATCCATCCATCATCCATCCATCATCCATCCATCCATCATCCATCCATCCATCATCCATCCATCTATTCATCCATCCATCCATCATCCATCCATCCATCCATCCATCCATCCATCCATCCATCCATCCATCATCCATCCATCCATCCATCCATCATCCATCCATCATCCATCCATCCATCCATCCATCCATCATCCATCCATTCATCATCCAGCGAGAGGCGGGGTCACCTGTCAGATAAAATATACTTTAGTAAATATATTTAATTTATTAAATAACACATATGTTGTATTAAAATAAAAATTATTTACTTAGAATTAATTTCTCTATTTTTTTCCCCATATTTTGAGTTTAAATGTCTTGCAGACTGAAACAGGAGCCCCGAAAAGTTTATTTATTTATTTTAATTTTCTGTTTATAAAAAGGAAAGAGAGAAAAAGAGAGAAGCTTGTTGAGTATTTGAGCTTCAGATCGACATGAAAGGATCATGAGACTTTATCTGTGCTCTTATTGTGAAGGCGGCCAGACTTCCGGTTTTTCCAGTCGGCTCTTTGATTTACGTCCCGCATCTCGTTCGACAGGACAAATTGATGTCTCAATCAATAAATGTATCGATATCTTCATGACTATCAGTGAAACTCCCAGCTGGAGTCACGTGACTCTCAATGAAGAGCAGTCTGGCATGACGTCACCTCCCTGTTGATACGAGGCCGCAGCTTGTTGATGGTGATGATGTCATTGATTCTGAAGAGAAACGTCACAACCTGCAGAGTTTCAGCTCCTGAAGGTCCGACCAGAGGCGGCGGGAGGCCGGATGCGGCCCGGGGGCCCAGAGCCCCAAATATAAACCTGTACAAGTTTTAATCATTATTTTAAAACCTGAGAAAAAAGTGAAAGAAAAATAATCTGTAACATGAACAAACTTGAAGGAGCAGGTGATGCTACAAGACAAAAATATGGAATATTTTCCACCTAAAATTACCTTAGAGGTAAACCCATATTTCTTTCTTTATTCCTCTGTATTCACTCATATTTACATATTTATGTCATCATTGATTTCTGCATTTTTATTTTAAAGGTTTTAATATATTTTTTGTAAAATCAGTTTGTGATCATATTAACATATTAATTGTGAAGTGGTTGTTTTTATTTAATTCCAGAAATTTTAACATTTTCATAAATAAATAAGTCAATTCATTAAGTAAAATTAAAATTAAAAGCCAAATATGCATCTATAAAACATCAAATAATGTTCATATAAGGAAATGATGCATGTGGGAAGAAAAAAATATTCTGAAAAAGATGCATTTAAAAATCTATCACAAAATCAATTAAGATCCATAAAATAAAAAAAGGTCAAATAAAATCTATAAAACTGATACCTTTGGTTTTTTTATCAATTGTATCTATAAAATATGATATAGAAAAATTAATTTTCTTAATTTAAAGTCAAGTTGTATTAGTGAGGTAAATGATAACTTTTAGAAAATAAAATATGGTTAGGATTATCCAAATCTTTATTCCAGGAAAACTAATTAATCCCCATAAGAAAGACATGGAGGCAAGTTTAATGCAAAGATAATATAAATATTTATTTATTGTTTCACATCACTGGTTCTACAAATTTAATGTTTAATTTTGTGTTTTTTTAGCGTTAAAAAATCCAGAGGAATGTGAAAATCCTGCAGGATTAACAAATCGTCAGACGGAGTTTTATTGTGACAGGCTGCAGGACAGGAAGCTAATTGCTGCAACAGGAAATGGAGATCACATCCACATTTCATCACCTGACTGACTGATTTTACCCAGAATCCTCTGATCTGAGATCTGACCTTCAACCAATGAGTGCAAGGCAAATCGGAGGCTCCGCCCACATCCGCTCACCTGGCTGCTCAGGTACCCTGCACTAACACACCGACCAAACCAGAGACCAGAAAACCGACTCTGCTCTTCGTTACAGTTTTTATTCCATTTCAGATCCGTTTCCTGGGCATCATCCTGTTGCCATGGAGACAGGTCCTCCTCTGCTCACCTGGAATCATAGAAGAAGAAAAGCAAAAAGTTCAGATGTTATTCCCTGAACGCAGACTGCCAGGCTGAGGCTTGAAACGGAACATTTCAACATAGAAAAACCAAAAAATACATCAAACACCTGTGTGATGATGTCATAACCAGTGACATCACACACCTGGACTCACCTCACTGTACAACACATCCTTTCTTCTGCTTGGGGCTTTGGGATCTGATGCTGTCAGGGCATTCTGCAACAAAAAGGGACGATCTGATTGGTTGGTTTCTGGACAAACTGAACCGTTTGGTTCTGGCAGGTTTGGTCCGGTTCTGACTGAGATACGCAGCAGAACCAGGAACCAGGAGCCAAAGGGACCGGGAGCCTCATGAACTGAAGCGCTTCCTGATGATTCAACAGGTAGCAAAACTCAACAACCTAAAAACTGAAACCAGGAGAGAAAAACCAAACCTAAAAGCCGTGTAATGACAGACCTGAGCCAGCAGAGGGCGACATCATGCATTGAGCATCAACATGGTGGAAATTAGCAGTTTAGCATTTGGTGTTGCTAAATTACAATGACGTTTCAGGATCTTTAAAGGTGGAAAGCAAAACATAGAAGAACATTTCTGCCAAAAAGCTTTTAGGTTAATATCAAAGTTCCACCCCTCCAAAAAAAAAAATGATTTTTTTTTTCAACTAAAAATTTGCAGTTCTTTGTTGCAAATTTGCAACAAAAAAGTCAGAAATTTTAAGATAACACTCATACATATTGTAGGAAAAAAAACTTTCTTTTCTGAGTTTCAAAAGTTCAACGTCTTCAACTTGAAAGTCAGAAATGCAAATTATTGTTTAAATTCAGAGATTCATCTCAAAAGTTTCTTCTAGAAAATGTTCTGAGGACTTGGTCCAGCCTTTGGACGCCGCCGGTTTCCACGTGTTTTTGGTAAGCACAGCAGCCTCTGCACATGTTTGTGTATTTTATTCAGACATTAAAGGATTTAGTGTTAGTCAGATCTTCATCTCAGATATTCTGCAGATTTTCTAACATTTGTTACGGAGAAGCTGATTGGCTGAGAGGAGACATGCGTTGACATCAAACCTGATTCAGAAAGAACTGGAGGAGACATGTAGGATCGCTGATGGGATTATTAACAGAGCTTTGCGTCTTGGTGTGGAAGAAAATAAATGAGTTAGATGTTTTTCTAAGCTCCGTCAGTTTGAGCTCCAGTAGGATTAGCTAAGCTGCGGTTAGCGGCTCAAACCTGCCAGGACTCCAGTCTTTGGAGTCCAAGTCAAGTCTGACAAATTTCTTTTTGCAACAGTTGGATCGGCTCCCTGATTGAAGCTCCAGTCTTCACCAGAAGGGGGAGTAAAATCTACAGTTATTACAGATTAAGGTTGTATCGGTTGCCATGCCAACAGGGCTCTGAACGAGCTCATCTCGGACGTTTCTGTACCTTTTGGACGGAT